AAGCCTACACCCACGGCCAACCCCACCTCTAAGGTCTACACCCACGGCCAACCCCACCTCTAAGGTCTACACCCAAGGCCAAAGCCATCTCTAAGTCTACACCCACGGCCAACCCCACCTCTAAGGTCTACACCCACGGCCAACCCCACCTCTAAGGTCTACACCCACAGCCAACCCCACCTCTAACGTCTATACCCACGGCCAAAGCCATCTCTAAGTCTACACCCACGGTCAACACCACCTCTAACGTCTATACCCACGGACAACCCCACCTCTAACGTCTATACCCACGGACAACCCCACCTCTAACTCTACACCCACACCCAATCCCACCTCTAATGCCTACACCTATGGCCAACCCCACCTCTAAGTTTACACCCACGGCCAACGCCACCTCTAAGTCTATACCCACAGCCAACAAATCCATTCTGATGCACAACCCCAACATACAAGGTTCCTGAAACTATAAATCTTTACAGGAACAGACAGCCTCATCTTTCTACCAAGGAGCTGATGGTGGGTTTAAACCACCAACATCGTGCTTAGCCAACCAATGCTTAACCCACAGTGCCACCATAGCTCCTTTCTCTAACATTCAGTGGGGGTTATCCTGGTGTGGCACTGTAGGATAAACACTAGACCGCTAACCACAAAATCTGGGGTTCAAATTCACCAGCGGCTCCTCAGCAATCCTATGCAGCAGGCAGGGTTGCTGTGAGTTGGAAACGACTTGAAGGTCCACAACACTTCTGAGCGCCAGGCTTGGAGTTTGTTGGCATTCCATTTGAAAAGAAAACTCGCTGCCTTCCAGGGGATTCCGACTCATAGTGACCCAGCAGGGCAGGGAAGGACGGCCCCAGGTTTCCATGGCTGTACACCTTTACGGGAGCAGGTCGCCCGTGATGCCAAGTGCAGGAAGGAGAAAGCAGCAACCCTGGGAGCAGGAGCAGATGGTTCTGGAGTGTTCTCTTGCCTTAGTTATGCACAATGTGAAGGTGTGAGAATGTTCATTTACTCATCTGTGTGCAAGGAGAGGGAGCGTGGTGGCATAGAGGGGTAAGTGCTGGGCACAAGGTCAGCAGTTCTAACCCACCCATAGCTCACTCCTCAGGAGACAGATGAGGCTTACAAACCCTCCTCTGTCCTGTAGAGGGCTGTGAGTCAGAATCAGCTCGGTGGCAGTGGGTTTTTGTGTAAGGAGAATTTCAGACTGAGCACTGAAACAGGGGTGGCTTCACAGAGGCCCCAAGTCACAAGGCACTTCAGGGAAGACCCCCCACCTTGTCTCACTGCCCACCCGCGCCTTTGTCCCTCATGCCACCACAGCTGGATGTATTTATGTGACCCAACACTGGAGTCCCAGAGGCCCTGGCGGTGGCCCCGTGACTCACAGTGGTATCAGTACACTGGCCCGGCACACCCAGGAGACGAGGAGCCAGAAACACAAGCCTCAGTATGATGGTTTGTTCTTCAGTTGACTTGAACTTTTTATTGTGGGCAGGGTGAAAGTTTACAGAGCACAGAAGTTCCCACTCAACAACATACACACATCCTGTTTCAGTGTCGTTGCCTGTCAGCCCCTCAGTGGAACAGCACTCTTCCCACTTCCTCCCGGGGCTCCCCATCTCCGTGCTTCCTTCCTGAGCTTTGTTTTGGGGCAAACGCTGCCTTTTTGGTCTCTTGTAGTTGTCTATGCTGACAAGCATACTCCTCCCAGGTGTTGTGTTCACATGACAGGCCTGTCTCTTGGTTGGCTGCCAAGTGACCCCCCACTTCCAGATATGAAGGGTGTCTGAGGGACGCGGTCTCGGGGCCCAGCGTCTCTGTCAGGCCACATCTCTCTTCCGCTCTGTCGAGGACCTTCTGTCATGGTCCCATTCAGGGCAGTTCGTAGTGCTGGTGAGGTGCCATCTAATTCTGCTCTCAGAGAAGGATTACGGTGCCAGCCATCTTCTCCCAAAATGTAGCCGTTCTGCTACTGATGACGGTGCAGAGCCTCAGAGGACAGCTGCCACATTGGGGTCTTTCTCTGGGATTTTGTTTGACAGCTGTTGTTATTAGGTGATGTTGAGTAGGTTTCGATTCACAGTGACCCCGTGCACAACAGAATGAAACACTGCCCAGTCCTATGCCAACCTCACAGTTGTTAAGCTTAAACCCACTGATGCTGCCACTGTGCCAATCCATCTCATTGGGGGTCTTTCTCTTTTTCACTGACGCTCCACTTTACCAAGCATGATGTCTTTCTCCAGGGCCTGGTCCCTCCTGATAACATGTCCGAAGTCTGAGTGATGAAGTCTGGCCAGCCTGGCTTGTAAGGAGCACTCTGACTGAACTTCCTCCAACACAGATTTGTTTGTTTTTTTCTGACAATCCATGGCACTTTCAATATTTTCCTCCAACACTATAACCCAAATGCATCAATTCTTCTACGGTCTTCCTTACTCACTGTCCAGCTTTCACAGGCATATTGTTTGGGTCATACGCACCTTAGTCCTCAAACTGACATCTTTGCTCTTCAACACTTTAAAGAGATCTTGTGCAGCAGATTTGCCTAATGCAAAAAATATGTCATTTGATTTCTTGATTGCTGCTTCCATGAGTGTTGATATGGATTCAAGGAAAATGAAACCTTTGCCAATTTCAGTCTTTTCTCCATTTATCATGATGTAATTTACTGATCCACTAGTAAGGATTTTTGTTTTCTTTTCATTGAAGTACAACTCATACTGAAGGCTGTAGTCGTTGATCTTCATCAATAAATATTTTAAGTCCTCTTCGCTTTCAGAAGCAAGGTTGTATCATCTGCATATCACAGGTTGTTAATGAGTCTTCCTCCAACCCTGATGCCATGTTCTTCAAATAATCCAGTTTCTCGGATTATTTGTTCAGCATACATACTGAATACGTATAGTGAAAGAATACAACTCTGGCGCACATCTTTCCCAATTTTAAACCATTCAGTGGCCCCTTGTTCGGTTCAAACAACAGCCTCTTGGTCTATATCCCTGGGTTCTTCATGAGCATCATTAAGTGTTCTGGAATATACATTGTCTGCAATGTTAACCATGGTTTGTCATGATCCACACAGTCAAAAGCCTTTGCATAGTTCATAAAGGACAGGTAAACATCTTTCTGGTGTTCTCTCGTTCAGCCAAGATCCATCTGACGTCTGCAGTGATATCCCTCATTCCACTTCCGTGCCTGAATCCAGATTGAACCTCTGGAAGTTCCCTGTCAATGTAATGTTACAGCCCTTTTTATATTATCTTTAGCAAAATTTTACTTGCATTCAATATCAAAGATATTGTCCAATAATTTCCGCATTCTGTTGGGTCATCTCTCTTTGGAACGGGCACAAATACGGATCTCTTCCAATCAGTTGTCCAGATAGTTGTCTTCCAAATTTCTTGGCAGAGATGAGTGCCTCCAGTGCCGCCTCATTTTCCTGAAAGATTTCAATTTTTATTCCATCAATTCCTGGTGCCTTGTTCTTTGCCAATTCCTTCAATGCACCTTGAACTTCTTCCTTCAGGATCATTGGCTCTTGATCATAGGCTACCTCTTGAAGCAGTTGAACATCAACCATTTCCTTTTGGTACAGTGACTCTGTGTATTCCTTCCATCTTCTTTTGATGCTTTCTGCATCATCCAATATTTTGCCCAGAGAATCCTTCAATATTTCAAATCGAGGCTTGAACTTTTTCTTTAGTTCCCCCAGCTTGAGACATACTGAGCATGTTCTTCCCTTTTGGTTTTCCAACTCTAGATCTTTGCATATTTCATTATATACTTAACTTTGTCTTTTTGAGCTGACCTTTGAAATTTTCTGTTCAGCTCTTGTGCCTCCTCACTTCTTCCATTTGCTTCAGCATCTCTACACTGAAGAGCAAGTTTCTTCTGACATCCATTTTGGTCTTTTCTATCTTTCTTGTCTTCTCAATGACTGTTTGCTTTCTTCCTGTATGATGTTTTCGATGTCATTCCACAGCTCTCCTGGTGTTCAGTCATTAGTGTCTGATGCATCAAATTTGTACTTCAGATGATCTATACGTTCAGATGGGATCTGTTGAAAGTTAAATTTTGGTTCTGTAGACTTATTTGAATTTTTTCTCAGCTTCAGTCTGAGAGTGCACATGGGCAATTGATGGTCTGTCCCAGTCTGTCCCTGGCCTAATTTGAGCTGATGATATGGAGCTTTTTCCTCCTTCTCTTCCCACAGATGTAGTCAATTTGATTTCTGAGTATTCCATCTGGTGAGGTCCATGTGTATGATC